AGGCTGCTTCATCCGAGCACTCTGACGATGTTTTGAAGTTTCTCGAGCTGGTTAGTTGCTGGTCTAGTAACTAGAGTTTGACAATGCATTCTCATGCTAACTCTCGATGGTTACTTTCAGATCAAATATGTAAGTGGTTCTTATGATGATGAAGACGGTTTTAAGAAGTTGGACAAAGAAATTTCAGAGCATGAAATTGCAAAAAATAGTTACGAAGGGTCATCGAGGAGATTGTTTTATCTGGCACTTCCCCCATCTGTATATCCCTCTGTCTGCAAGATGATCAGAAATTGCTGCATGAACAAATGTAAGAGAATATGTGAAGCTTTATGTATCTATATTGCTTGAATAATTACTCTACATCTGTGTTTAATTTGAAAGTTATTATGGGAGTGCTAACTAGTAATTGAAGGCCAATCTAATTTTGTTCACTGGCCCTTTATAAATCAGCGGTTGTTTAGCAAGATAGCCTGGGATGCATCTTCTTAGGGAGAGCATGGTGCCACTTTAATATGCTCATATCTTCGTCCAGCTATGCTAACAGTCAAAAGATCCACTTTAGTTCTTGGGATCACTTTTTTATAACTAGGCAACAGGTTTGCTGCCTGTTTTTGTACGTAAAAAGCTTCTTCTAGGCATCTCTCTAATTGTTTCGGGGATGATAACGAAAAGTTTGTGAAGTGATTTGCATGGCTGAATTGTTGGAGTTATTGCGAGTCTTTCGAATAATTTACAGTTGGGGACAAAGTTTTGGGCAATAAGAGCTAGGGCTTATTTTTATGTTTTGACAAAATGTCTCTATTTAACATATATGAACTACCACATCTTGCCTTTTCAGCTGATCTTGGAGGATGGACTCGAATTGTCGTGGAAAAGCCTTTTGGCAGGGATCTCGAATCCGCAGAAAAACTTAGTACTCAAATTGGAGAATTATTTGATGAACCACAAATTTACCGTATTGATCACTATCTCGGAAAAGAACTCGTGCAGAATTTGGTAGATATATATCTGTTGCGCTCTCTCTTTTCATTCTCTAAATATTCTTACCTCTTCTCACTTCTAATTCTTCGTACAGTTGGTACTGCGTTTTGCAAATCGATTCTTTTTGCCCCTCTGGAATCGCGATAATATTGCTAACGTGCAGGTAAGTGCCGTGGTCTACAGTTATTACTTTGGCAAATTGATGAATTTGCTTCTTTGACGAGGTTTCATTATTGCGTGCCTGTGTGCCATTGTCCTTGAAATAAGAGCACTACAAACATGGCTTTGTTGATCACTGGCATTGTTGTTTCATTATTGTATAGTTGCAGTGTACTTATTTATATGTATATTCTTTGCTTCTATCTTTGGCAGATAGTCTTCAGAGAAGATTTTGGAACTGAAGGTCGTGGTGGATATTTTGATGAATACGGGTATGCACGCCATTGATATTTTCTTCCTGTCCATCAAACTAGATGTCTGGACAGGGATTGTTTCTCTATCATCGAATTATCTTGTGCATTTACAATATATAAATGTCTTACGCCTTTCATGATGGTTTACTTGATGATTTTTCTTTAATAATGCCTACTCATCATGAGGTTGTCTCTTCTATGCTTTGTTTGATACTAAGACCCATTTACTGTGCCATCTGAATTTTGCAGGATCATCCGTGATATTATTCAAAACCATCTTTTGCAGGTACTGCCATTTTGATTTTGTTATTTATTTGTGCCGTAAATTAAATTAGGGAGATATACCTAGCCCCATTTCTCCCCATGTCCTTTTGCTACCCCGCTACATACCCATCACCCATCCTCTGTGTTCAAACCCGCAGAGAAGAAATTATAAACTAAACTCAACAGCATGCGTATCATCTAAGGGGGAAAGAGATCTTCATTTGATTAATGAAATTTGAGTGGTTGCAGGTTCTCTGTCTGGTTGCCATGGAAAAACCCGTTTCTCTCAAACCAGAGCACATTCGGGATGAGAAAGTGAAGGTATTCTCTAATTCCATGGCATGACAATGAAATACTTCCAACTGGTAGCATGTCAGTATGCCTTGGCATGTAATACTGGTTGGTTGCTGATTATCCTATGACATATGCATGCAGGTCCTTCAATCAGTACTTCCGATTAAAGATGAAGAGGTTGTTCTTGGACAATATGAAGGTTACAGGGACGATCCTACTGTCCCTGACCATTCAAATACTCCAACTTTTGCGACTATGGTTCTACGTATACATAATGAAAGATGGGAAGGTGTGATACATGGACGTTGAAAGCAACTACTTTCGAACTTTTCTATGGACATTTGTTTCATATATAAGCTAAGTCCTCACGGGCATATGCTAATGAACAACTGAATAACATTGTTTTCACTGCTCTAACAACTTGTGCCATCCTTTTTTAGGCGTTCCTTTTATACTAAAGGCAGGGAAAGCTCTAAACTCAAGAAAAGCAGAGATACGTGTCCAATTTAAGGATGTTCCTGGGGATATATTCAAATGTACGGTAGTATACATTTTTCACTTTCCACTGATTTTTTGAAGCTTGTGCTAGGTCAATCCATTGGTTAAGTCAAAAACTGTTGGTTTTTTTTTTCTTTAGGTGGAACCGACATTTAAAGCATAAGCCTGAGGATGACCTTTAGGGAATGTGTCCTGTCTGCTGTGTAGTTGCGCTATATGTGATGGTATATACTAGAAAATGGGTTCACTACCAGACAGGCCTATATGTACCGACCAGAGAACAATAAATTTTCATGTTTTGAACTTTCGGGTTTTAAAACTTGTTGATTATGAATTTTGGCCACGTGAAATACCTTGGTGATGTACTAAACAGTCAAATATTTCAGGTCCTCCTGTTTTGCTGCATATATTTATTCTCTTATGGTTATTTCATTTTGGCAATGGGTTGATTTGCTACTTGAATGGCATCCTTTCTTCAGGTAAGAAGCAAGGGAGAAATGAGTTCGTAATTCGCCTACAACCTTCTGAAGCCATGTACATGAAACTCACGGTATGTGACTGGATTTGCTAATAGCTTTCTGTAGAGTTAGTATGGCCAGAATGTTGTTGCTAATGCCTGCTTAACGTTACGTGCATAAATTCGCGCGTGCGCGCACACACACGCTAGCATCTATTTGCAAGTAATAGGCTGACAATGAGGTCAATGGTATCATATGCAGGATTTGGTAGTGCGTCAGTATAACTCACTCTTAGGTTGTCTGGATTTGTTATTTTCTATTAAAGATTGGAATTGTAGATGCAGCACACTTCATTGATGTTGTGACATTATTACGAGGATAAAATCATGATGTTCGAGAGCGATCTATAATCTGCTCATTTTTTTCATGCAGGTCAAGCAGCCTGGGTTGGAGATGTCAACCGTGCAAAGCGAACTTGATTTGTCATATCGGCAACGTTATCAACGTGTCGTTATTCCTGAGGCTTATGAGCGTCTAATACTTGACACGTACAATTCTTTCCTCTTTATTTAGAGTACTTCCAACATTAAAAAATCCTGTAGCTCTTTGTTTGGAGCTTAGCTCAGTGGAGTAGACTTGCATTTGGGCGGGCAATTCTAATAAGGATAGTTTTCTCTGGTATCCAATATGAAAAAACATAAACCATGCCTCTTCAATTAGTGCAAGTTGAATAATATGAAATTGACAGGTGTCTTGCTTTATCTTTTAGCGGTTCTTTCCATCAATAATGGTGAAATTTGGTATTGCAGAATGAGGGGTGACCAACAGCACTTTGTTCGGAGAGATGAACTTAAGGTACGAGCATTGCCATACAGTTGTGAAACTTCCATCTACAAGACGGCACAATTTTTTTGGTTATGCGAAAACGGGATTGCCTATTGACGGTTGCATTGTTCAATTGCAGGCGGCTTGGGAGATTTTCACACCGCTTCTTCACAGGATTGACGGTGGTGAATTCAAGCCAATTCCATACCAACCAGGGAGCCGAGGTCCCGTTGAAGCGGATGAGCTGCTGGAAAAAGCGGGTTACGTTCAGACTTACGGTTACATTTGGATCCCTCCAACCTTGTAGAAATGAAGACACCTTCCACGAATAAATTTTCGGTCCGGTGCCCTATAAGCTGGCAGGTTTTTGAGGCCTCTGTCTTTTGGTACTGTACTACCTACTAGTGCTACATACCTACCTGCATACAGTAGCAAGGTGTTATATCTGCTGCTGGCGGCCTTTTGCTTCAAAGAAAGCTTTAACACGGTGCCACCTCTAGAGTAAGAAGGTGCTGTGTGTGGACTTGAAACAATAAATGCCATTGAGCTTTTCAATAAATGACGAGTGGTGTCGTAATTTTCTCTTGGTAGTTATGTACTCGATTACAGCTCTTTGATTTCTCCGAATTGATTAAATGGTGGCGACTAACTTGGTTATCGCTGATTATCTTAACTAATTTCCGAAGCTTATTAGAAGTCCCGGCGATATTGCAATTTCGGAAATTAAACTCGATACAATCTTACAAGAGCTAATTATTAAAGTAACTGCCCAGACTCATTTCCTGAATGGTAAGAAAATAGTGTCGATATGGACTTAGAAGCAAATGCTGTGACCCTAACCAGTGCTAGTACTATTTCACTTCCCCGCGTGTACTGGAATATTGAACTAAACGTTGAGGGTGAATTATTAGCATGAATCATTAGGTGAGTTCGACCAGGTTGATTTGATATGAACTCGCCCAATTTTAGATTCCGTTTGTTTCGTAGAAAACGAATGATTTGGAGAATATTTTTCTAAAAATGATCATTTGTATCGTTTACAAAAATGAATGAACGAGTTTTTTTCATCGTCCACGAAAATATTTAGATATAAATTGTTATTAATAATGAAAATATTTTTTATCGATTAACTATTTCAATCGATACACACGATTATTTTTTTCAAATTATTCATTTTTTGCGAAACAAACCGAACAACAGCGATGCATGTCCATCAGATGCATATCATGTTCATATCTTTCCGGTTGTCTGTGAACAAGCACCACCAATTGAAGTGGTCACGAGTTCGATATTGCTGTTCCCTCTAGGTGAAGATATTCTACAAATAATACTCAGAAACCAAGCAACCGCATCTCCATGGAGGACTCATGCCCCAGGGATCAAATTTCAAATCATCATCAGTCTTTTCCACAAAGTTACAGTGTTTTCCTGAATGATTGAGCAGGAGACCCTCCTCCAGATTGACCAATAACTTGGCAGCATTATCAAAAGAGTGAACTGGCAACGGGCAAAGTCATCCTTTAAAGGCAATAATAGCCGTCCCCAGCGGTAGTTGGCGACGACTTCCGGCCCATCACAGCGGTTGCCTCGGCAGCACGCCGCTAGCAAGTAGAGACAGTCTCGTGGAGCCAGTCGCTGGCCAATTAGCGACCGCATAAAAGGCGGTCTCAGGTTTTCGGGGGCCATCCCTAACGCTCTCTGAATATCCCCAACTACACATGTGGGCAATGACCGCTAGTAGACGTCCCTAAGTCTGCATATGCGACCAACGTCGTCACCATTGTTATACACACGTTACAAATCATTACATCGAGGAGAACGGTGGAGCGATGACTAAAAGTGTGCATTGCTTTTGCGCCCCTTATTGCCATGTAATGTACTGTCAATTCCATGATTGCTGCTTTTGGTTACAAAATTAACTGACAAAAGCCGATTTTGATGTATACAGAAATAATACAACATATATATAATCGGGTTCATATCAATGCCAAAACGAATTTGAGAGCATATAAATATCATCAGTGCTCTTCAATGAACAAATACGAAAAAGATAGGCGAATTCTTACATCAATATACACATGTAATAACACTTCGGAGAAAATGAGATAAACAAAACAGTGTCTTAAAAGCATTGATTGTCTTAGACTAATAACCTAAAGCTTCTCAGCCTCGCAGGCATCCATAAGCTTACATTCTGTAGAGAAAGCAACTAGCCAATTGAAGAGTCTGGTTGTGCATGTGACTTCACTAACATCTGCAAACATCCATAAGGACAAGACACAGGAAGTAAGCTCAAGATTCAACAGAATTCGTGAAAAAGAAAAACGAAAAGACAAGCCTAAAGAACAAAAAGGAGAATACAGTTCACAACCTTCATCATGCTTTGTTCATAATTTGTTCCGGAAGGTTCAACACACTCGTGATAACTTTGGTTGTGCTGAATGAATCCGGGGCTTAATTTTTCCATGGAAGGAAGTCTGAGGACCTGATGCCGATCCATCTTGTTTTCCCAACTTGTCTAAAGTGACTGAAAAAGATTTGAGGACTGATACTCACCAGCCAAAATGATATCCTCGTAAACCTGAAAATATGTTTATAGAGTTTCTTGTGTTGATCTGTAAGATGTAGGAATATAACCAAAGCTAGGGAACATACTCAGAGTAATTCGTATTCTGCATCATGCATTGCCAAGAATGATGTTAATTTCTATGCTTTCAGAACATACAGAGACGTGGCTCCTCAGTGAAAGCTGGCAGCATTGAATTGGCAACCGCTTTTTAAACCTTCCACAAGACAACTGATGGAGGACTTCTCACCTAACCAAATTATCATGAAAAAGATAAGAAGGACAAACTGGAAAAGAAGAATGATGGTAACATAAAACACAAGTGATAACAGGGAACAACGATAACAAGTTGGACTCTTGTTAGTTACTACACTTATGCAAAACCATTATTAGAGAGGTCAATGAATCCATTAATCATGGGATTAGTGGAATTGGAGCACTATAATGTTATTGAGCAAGGGAGGAAACTAATATTTTACGAGATAACAGGCCCTCTCTTGTCACATGTATCTAAACTGGCGATCCATTTCATTTCCATGTGTTTGAGCAAATGATAGTGCAGGAGTTTCTCTATATTCAAAAAGCAATAGCTTGTTTAAAAGCAGTCTGGATTGCTGCGACAAGGCTTCTAGGGATTCAGTGTATGTCAGGCACATTTTAGTCCTGGAAAAACAGAATCAGGCTAGCCAGTTAAAAGACATTTCTCAGAGTACCTGCAGACTACAAGGTCACAAAGCGGTTTCAACTTCTTTGAAGCAGAAGCAACCCTCAGTGCTACGGCATGAAACAGACAACAAATATTTACTTTATGATGCTCATCATCTTTAGACTTCGATCTTTTGGCCTCTAGTTGCATAGATATAGACTTGGGATACAAGTCTAATTTACCTGGCAGATACGAAAGACGGCCGTAAATTGAGCATTCTAGAAAAAAGAACAAAGCCATTGAAGTGGTAATGATACTAGAAGAAAGGATATCAAATTGCAGGGAGTACCTTAGTATCAGATATGCAGGTCACTACAAAGACGCTATGAGCTCCATCTTCAAATGATTGACCAGGGTCCAATGATACAGTAGGAAATCAACCACTCGACATTGAGGCTTCAGGCAGATAATTGTTCCCTTCAAATTGTCCATTTACAAGGATATCATATGTAGTATCATCAGGCACAAGTCCTCTGTCAAGCATTTCATCATGCAACCTAAAAGCCTCTTGAAGATTGCCTTCCTTGAAGTTTCCAGCAATCAATGTGTTGTATAAGAGAACATCAGGCCTGACACCTTTCCTATCCATCTCTTCCAAAATCTTGCCAGCATTCTCTAGCTGTCCCTTTTTGCAGAGACCCTTCACCAGGACACGGTACAGAACCAAATCAGGTACAAGGCCCTTTGCGAGCAATTCAAAGTAAAGATCCGATACCATAAGTAATTTACCCTCTTTCAACAGTCCATCAATTAAAGTGGTATAGGTTCGCAAGTCGCAAGGGATACCCTCATCTACCATTTTCTTCTGAAAACCAAGTGCAGCCTCCATGTTGTTTAGATCTCTAAACCCACTAATGAGGCAATTATATACGACTGTATTAGGAGACAGACCAACTTCTAGAAGTTCAGAATATAAGTCCAGTGCCCTTTCCATGTCTTGCATTTTGCAGAATCCATCAATTAGAGCACCATATGCAGTGATATCCAGTTCAAGACCCTTCTTCTTCATCTCATTCCACATCTTAAGTGCCAGATCAATATTATTGCTTTTGCAAGAACCTCTGATCAAGCTGGTGTAAGTAGCAACATTCGGGGAAACTCCAAAATCATTCATATCTTTAAAAGCACATAAAGCAGAATTTATGCCACCCTCTGCAACAAACCCATCTATAACGCTATTGTAAATCATGCAGCTTGGGACAAAGCCTTTGTCGATGAACTTATTCAACGTGTCCCTAGCCACAACAGTCTGGCCAGCTTTACACAAACCATTGATGACTATGTGGAATGTGAAATCTGAGGGAGCAACTCCTGCATGCTCCATCTGTTCAAACACATCAAGAGCACGAACTGGATCACCATGTTTAAAGTATCCATGTATTAAGACAGTAAATGAAAGTACATTAGGTTTTAGTCTCCTTCCTTGCATCTCTGAGAACATAGTAGATGCCATATCCATATTGCCACTTTTGCAGTGTCCATGAATCATAATGTTGTATGAAACTACATTTGGCACTAGGCCGTTGACAATCATTTTATCCCATAATTTGCAAGCTTCAGTCAAATCACCCTGATTGCAAAGCCAGAACAGAAGATGATTATAGGAAATGGCATTAGCAACTCCACACTCAATAGCCTCCTCAAATATTTTGAGAGCCTCTTCCCATGACTGAGCTTTTAAATATCCCTTAATCAAATGATTAAAATTAGAGACACTAGGTCGTACACCGGCAAGTTTCATTTGGGAGTACACCTCAGATGCTTTTTCGACATTCCCATTCCTACAGCATCCGCTAATCAAAGCGGTGTAGGTAACATTGTTTGGGACGAGACCATCCTTGCAAATACTTTCGAAAAAATTCAGGGCAGAATTTAAATCACCTGACATACAATATGCCTTGATTAAACTTGTTGCGGCCACCAAATTCATCTCATACCCTCTCCTTAGCATCTCATCCTTTAACTTCAGAGCCTCTTGCATATACCCCTGCTTCACACAAGCGGTGATCACACGAGTGAATGTAAACTTCGAAGGGACCAATCCCTTTTCTTTCATCTCCTCCAACAACTCACAAGCCATCTCTGAATTCAGCTCTCGACACCTAGCCTGGACCGCAACATTATAAGCTGCCTCGTCAAGTTCCATCCCTCGATCCATGGCCTGCCTAAAGTACTCTCCAGCCTCCTCAGGCTTCCCTTCCTTCATACACGCTCGCATCACCGTGTGCAACGTAGAGAGATCACCTCTTTCGCCTTTTGTGACCATGGTATCATACAATTCCCGCACCGCCCCAATCCTGCCCCTCCTAACCAACGCATCCAAAAGAACATTTAAGTACGGAAGGGAAGGCAGTGCATTGCTCTCAATCATTCTATTACAACAATCTACGGCATCGCCAACCCGGTCAGCTCTAACGAGACTACTCAGCAAGTAATCAAAGACCCGCGAACCCAACTCAAAATCGAACCGCTCGGCACACTCGATCAGACCATCCACGAGCACGGTCGGGGAGTACCCGGAATCGGCAACGGCATTCCAACGGAGCAACCTCCGAGCCTGGGACCAAGACTCCGGAGATCCCGCCAAGATATGAAGTAAGACGCAATACGCATCGGCACTCCTAACGAAGCCACGCCTCCTCTCGACTCCAAAGTAGAACTTCAGCGCCGAAGACGGGTCATCCTTGAGTCTCAGCAGGGTGTTCACCACATTGGCATGTCGAGAAACCGAACCACCTGGACTGCCCGAGGTGGGTTCGGGATCATTTCGACCGGAATCAGATGGGCTGTGGGCAAAATCGGATCTTGAACTGATTTGTTCGGGATCGCTCGACCCCGAGTGCATTCTCTCGGGAAAAACGGGTTCCGAAGCAATGGAGCTCGGGCGTTCCGATGTCGAGCAAATGCATCTCGAGATGGTCGAAGAACGGAGCGAGAGCGGAGGTATTCGCAAGCGACTGAATCGAGAGCTCATCGTTTCCTGCTCGATTTCTAGCTGCGGAAACCTTCAAAGTTTTGACAATCCCCTCGATAAACCCTACAAAAATTAGAGAAGGAGAGTGACGATGCAGATGCAGCACGAGGACAAGGGCTGGGCTTCAGCACGTGGTAGAGACTTGGGCTTCACATTGGACTTGCATTGCTGGTTTTGGACTGATTTTGCTGCAGTTTGTTTCATGTGTGAGGCCTAATTAGGGAATTAGGCGAATTGAAAGAGTTTTTACTGTGACTCAGGAAATTAGCCTTGTCTGCTCTTTATATACTTTATCAGATAAATTCAGCAGTCTAACAGTTTGATCGATTAGCTTGGGGTAAATTCTTTCGGATCTTAGTAAGATCTCGTCAAATGATTGAGTTCAATTTCTCACCATCCTACTTTTTTAGATCCCGTTCGGTACGCATGAACTAGAATACTTTGCCTACTCCTCAAGATCTTTCAAAGCTGCCTGTAACTGATAATTCGTATTCAAGCGTGGAATTTGAGTTATGAATCTGTGCCGCAATGAAACGATTTAGTTTTCGTTGGATGCGCCAAAATATCGATTTATCATTTGAAATCGAACCCATTCGAGTGATTTCCATGTTTCCAATATATGCTTTCGTAGAACTTATCTATTGTAGAAAAGAGAAGAAATGGCATCCCTTTGGGTTTCCTGGTGGTAACACAGAAAGCTTTTAAAAGTATTGCTCACTTTTCCTGAAAATGCAAAAGATTAAGCAGTTGCACAAGATCATATCTTTCCTTCCTTTCTCTTGTTTATATTATATCCCCCTTTTCAGGTCTGCGTGACTGGCTTCCTCTGCCACTTCCTTTCTTTTTTCTTTTTTCTTTTTGATTTTCCCTGTAACATGTGAAAAAAAAACCATAAGATTGTAGGGCATGTGTGGGGGGGTCCAGACAGAGAACTGGCTGCTCTTGTTAAAAAAACAAAGAGTGGGACTCACCCCCACCATCTATACTACTGTAAAAAGAATAGTAAGTTAAAGAAAAAAGCTGTTTCTCACATGCCATCATCTGCTCTGGTGTAAGGACAGCCCGAGGCCTGTCCTCCATACTTGAGCAAAATGGAAGCTTTTCAAGAGAGCTAATCTTATGCGGCAGTTAGGAAGGAATTGAACCAACCAAGCAAAGCACCAAAGGGATTATTCTGTGGAATTCAATGCTAATCTCTGCTTCAGTTTCAATCCCTCGACTACCAACAGCTTCACTCCTTAAATCAAAATTACACCCCACAAGTCCAATAGCAATTCCTACTCAAAGCACCACCTTCCTTCCTTCCTTGCCCCCTCTCACCCAAAAGAAGAGAAGTGGCATCTTCCTCGCTCCTCAACGCTTTGCTTGCTTCATCACTATAACCAATCTCTCTCTCTCTCTCTCTGCACGCACGCTCACCGAGTAAGACTTGCATTGTCCTAGGTCCGTGGACCCCACATCCATGTGCCCGTCGATGAGACTCACACATGAGGCCAAAATGATAAGATAAACTATTATCTATGTGGATTAGGAAGGCAAATATTTGCCTACGCTTATCAATCACGCATCGAAAAATTCTTGCATGAATCTAGATCTATTGGACAAAATCGATCGTTAGTGTTGATCAGCGGGCGTTTCAAGTGAGCCCCACCTATGGATCCCACAGTATCAACCGGTCCATGACGATGGGTGTTGGCAAGAATCTCCCCACCTTACACACTGAATAATTTCTCACTAAACAGACTTGCATTTATTTATGTTCACACTTGCTTTTCTGAAGGAGATTGGCCCATGATGACACAAAGCAGAACACACACCTCATCAAAAGTCTAAAACCTCAACTTCAGCGAAATGAAACCCACAAATTCTTCTGTCCTTTTCCTCAATCTCATCATTAAATCTTTCCACATCATCTCTTGTATTGTACCGCTCCACATTTCCCGATTCCAACGAAAACAGCTTTTGGCCTCACTCTCGAAACAGACTTGATGAGATCGCGAAATAACACTTCCCTCACAGGCTCACTCACCCATTTCCAAGAGAGTGTCCTCTCTCTTTCACCTTTTTTTTTTCTCCCATTCTTGATCCATTCTTGATGCCTCCCACGTTCTTGCCCCTCCGGTGGGCGAACACCCGAGACCAGTGGTGGTGTGCCTCTCCAATAGAATGTGCAGCTGCTAATGGCCACTATGATCTCGTCCGAGAGCTCCTCCACATTGACCCCAACCACCTCATTGAGCTCACCTCACTCCGCCGAATCCGCCGCCTTGAGGCCCTCTGGGAGGAGGCGGGCAACGCGGGGCGCTTCCGCAGCATTGCCGAGCACCGATCCCGGGTGGCCCGGCAGCTCCTGCAGGAGTGTGATTCGAAAAGCAAAGATTCCCTCATCAAAGGTCGATATGGTATCGGTGGGTGGCTCATGTACACTGCTGCGTCGGCAGGGGACTTGAGTTTCGTCCAAGAACTGCTGGAGAGAGACCCGTCTCTTGTTTTGGGAGAGGGCGAATACGGCGTCACCGACATCCTTTACGCCGCTTCCAGGAGCAGAAGCCATGAAGTCTTCAAGATGGTTCTTGATTTCACGGTGTCTCCAAGGGCGTTGTCGTCGATGACGAAGAATGCAGGGCAGGGAGAGGTCGCTTCCTCGTACAAATGGGAGGTGATGAACAGAGCAGTGCATGCTGCTGCTAGAGGAGGCAATTTGGAGATGCTGAAGGAGCTCGTTGCTAGTGACGATCGCTCCGATCTTCTGGCTTATAGAGATGCTCATGGCTCCACTGTCTTGCACTCTGCTGCCAGCAAAGGACATGTCCAGGTGAGTTGAAAGCTCGTGGCCTTTGTGGCAAGTTTATGTCTTTCAATTGGATCATCTTGCTAGAGCAAGGCTTAGGAAGCACCGTTTTTTTTCGATTGCAGAATTTGCTTAATGGTTAGATGATGTCTTTGCTGTTTTACGACTATGAGGATGATCACGTTTTGACTGCCATATAGTGTCACCATTGGAGTGAACGTAACTCTGCATTGTGACCGAATTTCGGCTTGATGGTGTCTCAGTTCAATTGGAACATAGATGAATTTGACAATAAGGTCTCGGCCAATCTGATAAATTCATCAAGCCAGTTAAACACGCCAAAACCTTTAAAAGGAAGGAGATTGGTTCCCGCACAAGCTAGTCGTTTTGTTTTCATTCGATTACAAATCACATAGGCTGAAGTTGCAGATGATGTTAGTGCAGACGCTAGCTGTAATCTCCCATGCCTAGAGCAACTCACCAAAAAGATTAAATGATCTCAGTCTTGCTCCCGTGTTGAAAACAATGCAGGTGGTTGAGCATCTTATTCAAGCCTTCGACATGATCGACTCGACCGACCACCGAGGCAACTTGGCGTTGCACATAGCTGCTTACAAGGGTCAGTTACCCACCATTCAGGCACTAATTTATACTTCTCCATCTCCTATCTCGTCGACGAACACAAATGGAGAGACTCTCCTCCACATGGCTATATCCGGTCTACAAGCTCCGGATTTCCGGAGATTGGATGTCCAGATCGAGACGATGAAGAGATTCTTGAGCGGGGAAGTCTTCGATGTGGAAGACATAATCAATGCGAAGAATAACAATGGCCGGACCGCTCTTCACTTGGCGATCATCGGTAATGTGCATCCTAAACTAGTGGAGATCTTGATGGCGGCCCGAGGAATCGACGTGAATGTTCCTGATGAAGATGGGATGTCCCCACTTGATTGGCTCAAACGGCGACCGCGCTCCGCATCATCTGACATATTAATCAGGAAGTTAGTTTTGGCCGGAGGCCGAATGCTTGGGATTCAGGAACATTCTGCTAGAGAAGCCTCACCTTTGGAGATAAAGACGCAGAGTAACGGAACTACTAGCCCTGGGACATCTTTTCGAATAGCCGACAACGAAATTTTCTTGCACGCGGGGGTTCGGGACACGTCGGACGCGGATGGCTATCGGAATAGCGCGGGAATGAAGTCTTGTTCGTTCGACTCGACCGATGAAAACAGTAGTTCGTGCATCAGCGAGAGACCCGGTTCCGCGAATAACATTTCGAGGCAACTAAAGAAGTTCGTGTGGCCATCGATACGAGCAAACAAGCATGACCCAGGAATCCGCAACAAGTAGATGCAGAAACGTAGGGACTCAAGAACTGAAGGGGGGAGTTTTACTTCTTCAGTTGTTCAATCAAAGTTATAAAAACCCTGGTGCAATTAGAGAGGTTCATTTCATTCTTGACTTGATTCATCGTGGCCATTTCCCAATAGAACACTCCTAATTTTCGAGCTCTTCGCATGATCATAAAGCGTTGAGCTTAGAGAATTGCGTCTTTGTGGGTATCGTCGGGTCAATTTAGGAGCTCCAGGGAGCTTGAAATGTTACGGCCCAAAGGGTTGTAACTTTTAAGTAGAGGGTGATCATTGGACAGATCCGGACCGAACCTCGGATTCGACTCAACTCGTTTGCTTTGAACCGTCCATCGACGAAGAAACGAACATAGTTTATGTCCGAGCTAGATGGGCCTCTGTCAGGCTCAAGCGGGTTGGGTCGAGCCCTGCAAAAAGGGCCTCTCCTCAAACCTATTCAAATTGGTCTTTTGGTCCATTTGATCTATGAGCAGGCCCAAGCAGGCCTAGTGCTGTTGATCCACAATCAAGTCTTTTTTTTTTTTTTGGACATATCCACAATCAAGTCTAATCCCAACAATTAAATTTCAGAGATCGCTATTGTAACCAAAAAAAATAAAAATGCCAAGTTACTATTACCTTCCCAATAACGACCACGATGTAAATGACATAAAAAGACTTGTTAAAAATATGTCTCGAATTTGAGTTCGAGAACAAATCCAATCTATTAAAGGAAAGTCTGAAAATTGAATAATTGTGGATATCCATGCTGTGTACAAGTGCTTGGCAGTGGGCAATCTTCATGAGTTTTTTGTTCATGAATTACATCCAAGTGAAGCAATTAAATTCTTGCGGTAAGAATTTGTGTATAATTCCTTCATGAGATTAAGAGATTATTTCGTGAGGAATTATGGGCTAAACACTATGTTAGTTATTTGGTGTAATTGCGGCTTGGGAAACACCAAGAGTGTTTGAATGACTCGAGTATGGTTGTAATCTCCGTTATATCGCTTGATCTTTATTTAAATTCGTTGCTGCTCTCTCTATTGACGTAAGTCACTATAATCGAATCACGTAAATCTGGTGTCCTATTTATTTTCTTGTTCTGTTAATTTTATTGTTCGATCGCTTGCTTCCGCAATAAGACTAATTTACAAAATTACGTAAGAGATTTCAAATAAATGTATAAATATGCCTCCTAATCTAATCTCTCCGTTGTGCAATTTTGAAAAATCAGTCCTTGTGTCATTGGCATTTCTCGTTTGCTAAAAAACAATAGATTCTTCCTCGTGCAATCCTGGGAATTTGTCGCTATCATGTTGGCATTTGGGTCATTTCCAAGCAAGTTCGTATTCGATCAAAGTACACATGGAAAGCTAAATTGGTGGGTAACCTCATAAACATTCTCTCGAAAATGATAGAGATATTTTTTAAGGTAGACACATTGAATTTTAATGGACTAAATATTACCAAAAGCAACCAATTAAAACCACAACCCATATTCATTTTATTACATGGGATAACATGAGAAATCCGAAACTTTCGATTTGACTACTTTTTCTGAATACATGCAATTCGCTCCATGCATGCACATTATGTAAGACATCATCCACATGAGGGTAAGCGTGGTCCTTATAATTACTGTAAACGAGAGACGCTTTGATCGGAGCACTTAGCACGTTATGTTCAAACAAAAGATTTAGGGTGCGTTTGGTAACCATTAAATAATTTCTGCTTAGAAATGATTTTTTAATTCCATTCTCGGAAATAATTTCTAAGCATTTGAAGACATTTGGGGCACGTTTGGTAACGCTTCTGTTTCTCTATTTTTCTGTTCTTCTATTCCCTGGAACAAAAAAGAACAGAAATTCGTTTGGTAACGCATTTTATTTTTCTATTTCCTGGAATAGAAAAGTGGCCAAGAAATAGATTTGGAGCAGAAATAAGAAGTAGAAAAAATCTACTTCTTTGTTCCTAGAAATAGAAATAGAAAGGTCCAGTCCTCAAGTCGCGACCTCAGCTCCTCCTCCATCCTCCATCATTTGCAAACCGTCTCAAAGCACCGATCCGGTCCATTCTCGGCGAAAATAATAAAAAAATAATAATAAAAGTAATTAAATTATTAAAAAATTAAAAAATTCTAAAAATTCATAAAAATCAGAAAAATTCTCAGAAAATCCATAAAAATCAGAAAAACTCAGAAAACCCATAAAAATTTGCAAAATTCCGAAATTGAAAAAATTTAAAAAAATTCATAAAAAGCTTTTTGGAAAATAAAAAGAGACAAATTTCGGAAAAGTAAAAAATTTTAATAAACTTTTCCCCAAAAAAATAAAAATAAAAAATTCACATATTGGCATAGAATAAATTAAAAAATTCCGAAAATTCATAAAAATTAGAAAAATTTCAGAAAAATCCCATAAAAAATTTAAAAATTTAAAAATTCCCAAAATTCATATAAATCAGAAAAATTCTCAGAAAATCCATAAAAATCAGAAAAACTCAGAAAACCCTTAAATATTTGCAAAATTCCAAAATTGAAAAAATTAAAAAAATTTCACAAAAAATTTTCGGAAAAATAAAAAGAAATAGATTTAGGGAAAGTAAAAAATTTTAATAAATTTTACCCCAAAAAAATATAAAAAAATTCACATAATGGCTTAGAATACCTGTGGCCACCCAGTTTGAGTGAAATTTAAATTTTTGAGGTACCCAAGTGGTATTTTTGAAGATTCCTTAGTTTAGGGATTAAAAGGGGTTTTAAACCCCTAAAAAGGATTAGACAAACCAATAAATCATGCTTATTGATTTTTTTCACTTATAACTTGTACTTATAGTTAAATAAAAGATATAGATTTGAATGCAAAAAATTAGGAATAGAAATTTTGTGCGATTACCAAACGCATTTGTTCTTTTTCTATTCCAGGGAATAGAAATTTTGTGCGATTACCACACACATTTCTGTTCTGAAATAGAAATTTTGTGCGATTCTACCAAACGCATTATTTTGCTCGAAACTCTTCCAGGAAATAGAAATAGAAAAAACTATTTCTGAAAAAAAATTATTCCCAGAAATAGAAACGTTACCATACGCACCCTTGGTAACTGCCCAAAATTTCTATTCCTGAAATAGAAAAAGAATAGAAATGCATTTGGTAACTGTACAAATTTCTTTTTTATTAATAATATTTTAAATATTTTAATATTTTCTTTCTTTTTTTTTCTTTTTTTCTTCTTCTCCTTCCTTTTGGCCCATGGTCAGGTCACCGGCGCCAGCGACTGGCCACAGGCCAAGGCCAGCGAGGGCGAGGGTAGCCCTTGCCCAAGCTACCCTCGCCGACCCTTGCCAGATCCGGCGAGGGCGGCTCACAGCATGGGCAAGGGTCCGGTGAGGGCGGCTCTCGCCTAGGCCGTGAGGGTCCAACCCTCGCCGGTCTTGGCCTGGGTCCAATCACCAACCACCGGCCACATGCCAGGAAAGAAGAAGAAGAAGAAAAAAAAATTATTTTTCATTTCTGATTCTTATTTTCAGAATCAAGAATCAATTTTTTATTTATTCTTGATTCTGTTCCAAAACTAATTTTGAGAATAAATTTGTGCCCGAGAATAAAAAATTTACCAAACTTATTTCTGTTCTTTTTTTTTCCCTATAACAAAATAATAGAATGAGGTACTGTTTGATCGGTTATCAAACATGCCCTTATCTAACATATTCACGTGGGAACGGAAACCGAAGAAAGCCAAAAATGCTTACGTAAGTGATTGTGTCACTATGATGTGAATTTATACATGTCAATACCAAATTTATTTGAATCATTCCAATTCAAACTCACTTTTATTTTTCCGAAAATCAATTAAATTCCGTGTTGTTAACGTCACCGGGACGAATCCACAAGGAAACTCCCAATTTGTCAGGATTTTGCGGTCCACAAAGGCAGCTATTTACGTTGAGAAATAATGGTACGAAAAATGAAATATGCGGCACAAAATATAATTAAATGGAAAAAATCTCCATTGGTTGTTCCAGGGCGGATACACTAATTCGTGGATGAGAGTTGACAATAATGTCCCTCGAGGGGTTTCAATATTCCTTGTTTTTGACTGACCGACCCTCTAACGGTCCCGATTTCCTAACTTGGTATGATCAATTGGGCAAATCTGAAAATCGGTCGGAGCTTGCCAGATAACTAAAGTTTTCAATGAGAAAAAAGAGAAATTTCCAATATGAACGGACGGCACAAGAGAACTCGCGGCTAACAAATGGAGTTCAGATTATTGGTCTTGTTCTTTTGTCCATCTTCGAATGGCTTCAAGAGTCCTTTAAAAAATCCCGGGCGAATCATTTGATTCGATACCAAGAGCACGGAGATATTAACCGAAGTCGACGAAGACGATCACTAGACTCGAAATGATGGTGGGTGCTTTGTGTACAAACGCTTGAGTCGTAGGGGACCGCATAAATTGTTTCGGAGAAGAAGAAAGAAGAAGAAGAAGAAGAAGAAGAAGAAAACATGTAGCCTGCCACACCCGCAATTTCAAAACACGTGCTGCTAACGCCACGCAAGCGACGACGATATGATATAGCCCCCCTTTGAGACTTCCACGGCCAAACCACGTTGCGTCTTTGACCCACCGTCTGTCAACAGCCTGGGGGTGAAGTGCGAACTGCAAATTTCCTGGTCTCTTTATATTCGAGGGATTGAGCATTTGCTTGAAAACCAACATTCTGCAGTCATGGGAGTTCAAGCTCGGACCGATCACGCCTACGATCGCCAGCGTTACTCTCTCTCTCTCTCTCTCTCTCTCTCTCTCTCTCTCTCTCTCTCATGTACATGCGCATTGAAAATGTTCTTTTGGGGCGCAAATGCAACAATGCCCGTCCATCATCCACTTGCAGGGTGCTAGTAAGTACAATCTCTTTCATTGCAGTCACCACATGTAATTTCTATTAGCTGCCTAAATACAAAATTGCTCTCAAACAAATTGATTAGTGATGAAAATGCAATCATCCACAGATCTCGTGTCCGGACATAGTAGGTAGCTCTTGCTCTCTCCACGCGTGTTTGGCTCTTGAATGGGGCAAGCCAAGACTTTGCAATTGTAGAGAGACAATTCTTGATTTGGAATTAGGATATTTTGTTGGGATATTACAAGGCGAGTTTCTAATGGAACACCTTATGTTCAGATACGCGTATGAGTTGTGTTAGAAAGTCCCACATCGGAGAATTGGTATAGTGTGAAGCAGTTAATATATCCTAGTTGGCTCGTTACTCAATGGCTTAAGCTTTTGAGTGAAGGTGGCTCCCTCTTGACAATCTCCTTGAGTGAAAATTTAAATGGGGAAACACTATGATTTGAATAGTTAACCAGCCGCATTTAGAAAGTGCTCTATTAACTTCTTTGAAAGGCGATAACATTTATTTCTTTATTCTTTTTCAGCTTAGAAGAAGGCGAATGTATATAAAGCATGTCATGTAACGACCCTGTCCAACGAGGACAAGGAGTGGTTGCTAGGACGAGAGGGCCTGGACAAAGAGCTTCTCCCGGCAGGCTTCTAGGATAGGGAAGGGAGGAACAATGAATCAAATTGTGCACCGAATATGAGGAGAGCGATTTCGAGATATATATGTGAAAACTAAAATTAACTTACAGAGGTGCCTTTTGACGTAACGGCAAGCGCTTTGGAACTCCAAAGTTAAATGTGCTCAAGCTAGAGCACTACCAGAATGGGTGACCTATTGGAAAAGTGTCCGCATGTATGCTAAAGGACAAATTAGTGAGGCCCAGTGTGGGTCAAAGCGGATAATACCTCGAGTGAGTTAATTCAGGATGTTGGTGTGATGTGGAACAGTTAATATATTTTAGTTGGCTCATAACTTGTTGGTTTAAACTTCTGAGTGAAGATGGCTCAAACTGGATATATTAACAGGTTCGCACATGGGCTCTCTCTTGATGATCTCCTCTTGGTTGCCGATGCAATCAAATCTTGGTATCCAGAAGTAGACTAGCTTTAGCTATGGAAAGTATCTCACCTTCGGGATGATTGTCAATCAATCAATATATCTCGTGCTATCGATTTATTTTACGTAAATAATCTTTAGATTAATGCTTTATTAAAATCACTACAAAAAAACATGATTTTTGCGATGAAAAATTTGGAAAAATCCGTCGCAAATCGAATTTGCGACGAATTTAGCGACGGAAAAAATTCCGTCGCTAATAGGTCGTCGCAAAATTTTGCGACGGACAAAAATTCGTCGCAAATTTGCGACGGACAAAACTTCGTCGCAAAATTCGTCGCAAATTTGCGACGGACAAAAATTCGTCGCAAATTTGCGACGGACAAAAATTCGTCGCAAAATTCGTCGCAAATTAGCCACGAACACTATCCATCGCAAAATTCGTCGCAAATAATTCGTCGCAAATTTCGTCGCGAAATTTGTCGCAAATTTCGTCGCGAAATTCGTCGCAAAATTCATCGCAAATAATTCGTCGCAAATAATGTAGTCGCAAAATTCGTCGCAAATATCGACGCAAATTTCGTCACAAATTTACTCGCACATTTCGTCGCTAATTATCCGTCGCAAAATTCGTCGCTAATTATTCGTCGCAAAATTTGTCGCTAATTTGCAAAAAAAAAAAATTTGGTCAGTAATTTACGACGAACTTATTTGTAGCAAAATTCGTCGCTAATTTGCCATAAAAAATTTTTACTTTTGCCATTAACATTATTCATGATCGAATTTAGCGACAATTTTTTATTAATTCTTTAGCGACGAACTCCCCTACGAATATCGTTTAGCGACGAAATTTTATTTTTGCATTGAACTTTTGTAATTTGTGATCGTACGATAAAATCATTTATTTTATTTTTCGATTTTAAACCTAATTAAAAGCAAAATTAATTTTTGAAATTTATATTTAACATTGATTAAGCACTTAATAACATCAAAATATTATAATAATATGAAAATGAAATACATTCATCTACATTTTCCACAAGAATGATAAAAATAAAGAACCAAACTGAAAGGTGCATTCTTCCTCTTCAAGACAGACTTTCTCAATTGAGGAACTATCCAACCAAAAGGCGTTATCAGCCTTGTTATCAGAAAAAAGTTCACAGAATATGTTCTTGGCTCCACCAAGTCTAGCAGCCAAACCTTCTAACTTTCTCCATGTCAAGCCAGTTCAAGATTGGTTCCGATTTAGACGCAGAAGAAACTAGGAATACAAGTTCTGATGAAATACGATTCATCATCAGAGAAGAGTTTTCCCTAATCCATTTCATGTGTTCAAGGGCAAGTCTCACCTCGTCCGCATCATTTAAGTATTTCAGGAAAGTGACAAGGGAGTCTAAATTGCCCAAATCACAATTGAAACGTTGGAGCAACTTTGAAGCGGTAACAAAATCACCTGCATCAAGCATGTCAAGACATAGAACCAAGACATTATCTGTTGGTGCAATTATATAAGATCAAGAATACTCAAATTCAGTATTTACCGAGCTCGTCAAAACTTTACCTTTTCTGCAGAGACACAGGATGAATGCACTGAGGACACTACTGGCAAGAGTTGGATCCTGTTCAATACACTTATCGAAAATATTAAAGGCAACTTCAAAGTTTGCTTCTTGACAAAGCCCTTCTATGAGAGATTTGTAGATTGAGGAATCTGGTTCCAACCCGTTCTCCAACATGTGGTAAAACAGCCTCCTCGCCTCTTCAACTTGCCCTATTTCAGAGAACTTCTTGATCAAGATAGTATATGTTCAAAAATCTCCAGAATACCCACTTGCAAACATCTCATCCCACAGCCTTTTTGCTGGACGTATAAGATCTTCCCGACAACATGCTTCCAGAACAGAATTATAGCCAACCACATCTGGGCCCAACCCTTTCTTCTTCATCACCTCAAGGATTCCATAAGCTTCTCTTACTTTTCCAGCCCTGCATAAAAATGAGACCATCACAGTGTAACTCTCCGCATCAGCAAAATAACCACCAGAATCCAAGACTTGATACACCTGCATCAGTACATCAGTTTGGTTGTGCTTGCATAAGTTCCTACACAAATTGCTCAATGTCAAAAGGGTCGGGAACTTTCCCTTCTTAATCATGAACCTAAAGAAGGCGATAGCTGATTGGGGATCATCAGCTGAGATTGTTCCGATCAATGCATTGAGGATATCATCCTCCAGGGGAAAGTCCCCACTAACGATGACTTCACCCAACTCTGAGGCTTCCTTCATTAGTCTTTCAGAAATCAGAGTAAATAAAAACTCTTTATAGTCATTCGCCCTCGGAGCTACTCCTAACTTCCGCTTCAACTTCAAAACTCTCTCTTTCTGCACCACATCACCCATTTCTCGAAAAGCTTCCGCAACAATTCTATACGCCATAAAATCAGGTTTGCAGCTTCTACTTCTCAGCTCGTCCAGCACCCAAAGAGCCTCTGATACCCTTGAAGCTTGACAAAGACCATGAACTACCAAAACGGCAATAACTGACCCGTTAATCCCTGCATTACGCCTCCTAACTTCATCTAACGCGCTCAGAACCTCGGAAATTTCCCCATTACCACAAAACTTCCACAAGAACACGCCCAATCCCAGAGTGCTCAAACGAACACCCCACTGCATCATTTCATCGAACACCTTCCTTGCATTATCGATATACCCATCAGACGCGAGGGCAGCCAGAAGCAAGTTACACACGTCGGGCCCAACGTCCCCAACTAACGAACCAATCTCGCTGAAAACCAAAAACCCGTCGTGGGTCCTCTTGTTCCTGACGAAACAGGCGATGACGTGCCCGTATGCCGAGGCGTCGAGGCTGATCCCGCGAGCCCTGACCCGCTTCAACAGGGCCTCGACGGCGTTGGACTGTCGGGAAGCGGAGAGGGACTTGAGGACGGAGCGGTACGTGAGGGGGTCGTGAGCGAAGCCGGGCTGCTGGGAGGCCCAGTCGAAGAAGCCGAGGGCGAGCGAGAGGTGGGGGATCAGGAAAGGGTCGATCACGCGGGCGACGAGCTGAGGGGTGAGCAGGTCGCGGCAGCCGAGACGGTGGAGAGCTTGCTCCGTCCATGTGCGCGCCGAGACGGTGCGGCTGGAGGCTGAAATGAGAGCTCTGCTTATTCTTCGCCGCGCTCGATTTCCTCCTCATCTTGGGCACGCCCTGTTTCTCCACGGAGCTCCCTCCTTTCGGATTCTCCTCGCTCTCCTTCCCTTTCGGGGGGGCGTCGTCGTCCCCGTCGTCATCTTCGGCCGAGGCCTCCTCGTCGGAAGCCTCGGCCTCCTCCTCCTCCGGAGCGGCGATCTCTCGGTCCTCTTGATCTGCCTCCTCCACCTCTGATTTCTCGGGGAGCTCCTCCTCCTTGCCCTCGACGGGGGGAGGAGCCGCCGCCCCTTCGGGCTCCGCGGCCTCTAGGGCTCCGGAGGCCATGGGCGAGGAGGAGTCGCGGGAGGAAGCGCGAGCGCGAGAGGTTTGGGGGTGTGGGGGAGAGGGAAGAAGCAGAAGCGAGAAGAGGGAGAGAGAGGGAGAACAGTGAGCGAGAGAGAGAGAAATTGGGGGTAAGGGCGGGGCTTTGGGGCGCACTTTTTTTAATTAAATTTGCGACGAACTTCATATTTCGTCGCTAAAAGCAAATTTTAGCGACGAACCTTTTCAGTTCGTCGCTAATTTGCGACGGATTTTTTTTCCGTCGCAAAATTGCGACGGATTTTGTTATTTGCGACGGATTTTTTTTGTTTACGTCGCAAATTTTTGCGACGGACTTATTTTTCCGTCGCAAATTTGCGACGGACTTATTTTTCCGTCATAAATTTGCGACTGATTTTGTTTCCGTCGCAAATCTTTGCGACGGATTTTTTTTTTCGTCGCAAATTTTTGCGACGGACTTATTTTTCCGTCATAAATTTGCAACTGATTTTGGGACAGATTCCAAAAATAAAGAGCATTTTCTAAATCTTGCGACGGATTTATTTTCCGTCGCTAATTTGCGACGGAAGTGATCTTCGCGGCACATGGCGCCCATTTTTTCAAATCCGTCGCTAATTTGCAACGGAATTACCGACGGAAATGTTTATACCGACCAATTTTTCGAATCCGTCGCTAATTCCATCGGAACTTTGAGTAGATATGCTTCTTACAATGACACATTACTCATATTTGACGAATTAGTAAATGTCATGATCTAATTCATCTAAGGGCGGCAAGTTTGGTGATTTTTTTTTTTTCATTAGAGCAGCGGAGGAATGTCAAACAACCACGGGAGGTTGTTGCGAAATGGGCCGATGTGACTAGCATTACGAGCACTGTGGAGAAACATGAGGCGATGTGGATGTCGTTGTTCTACAAACAGGCTCGATTAACGCTTTCTCAAATAACAATAGGGCTCTAATACCAAGTCGAGAATGTGATAAAAAAAATTAAGAGCAATATATATATATATATATATATATATATATATATATATATATATCATTGTCAAATGAAGAGTACACGAACCTATTTATCGGTTTTATAGGATGACTATCTAAAAGGGAAAATATCAATTACAATCAATTAAACGAAATATAGGGAATCTTCTAAATATTTCTCTAATGGAATGCATGTCCTCTATTCACTCATCATTCGGATGTAACCCTTTAGAAATAATTCATCTAATTGGTTAGATCAAACTGGTTAGGTCTAAATAAGAATATCTCTTTTATATGATCTCCTATAGATATCCCCATATAGATATATTGACTTTACATTTCATACATCCACTCGATTCAGATCTATTTGAAAATTGCTATAATTTATTTACCCATATATTTACGCATACATAAGAGCTACGTGCGGAGGAAACCGCCATATTCAACTAAATAGATATCTGCGTTATCTATATCTAAGTCTTGAAAAAAAGAAGAAGATA